TGGAGACCTCATAGCAGCCTTCCAGTATCTGAAGGGGACCTATAGGGATGCTGGAGAGGGACTCTTCATTAGGGACTGTAGTGATAGGACAAGGGGTAACGGGTTAAAACTTAAACAGGGGAAGTTTAGGTTGGATATAAGAAGGAAATTCTTTCCTGTTAGGCTGGTGAGGCACTGGAATGGGTTGCCCAGGGAGGTTGTGAATGCTCCATCCCTGTCAGTATTCAAGACCAGGTTGGACGAAGCCTTGGGTGATATGGTTTAGTGTGTGGTGTCCCTGCCCACGGCAGGGGGGTTGGAACTAGATGATCTTAAGGTCCTTTCCAACCCTAATGATTCTATGATTCTATTCTATGATTATTCTAGTAATTTAATCTAATAACAATTAATTGCTACACTATAATTCTATTACCATAAGACAAGTACTTTTCCCTGATATATAAACTTTATCCTGATCCAAGAATTCACATCTACATAGATCAACTTTCTTATCCTCCACAACCTATAACTACACATGGATTTCCTACTAGGCATGATCCTTATGTGCAAATCACCAGAGACTATGTGGTTGTTGCTGGCTGGCCTGGGTCAAAACCAAACTGAGTCCAGGAATCTTCCAGCAATTAACAGTACAGTTTACCACTTGGTAATGATTGAACCAGGTCCTGGCTGGGCTTTTACTAGAACAGCTGCAGCTGAAGGGACCCAAATACAGATATTTCCTTTATGGTAAAATGTATGTCCATAATACCAAAAGAGGGATGTAAAACAGTCCAAATCATTTTTGCCTGAAGAGATTTCTGCTATTGATGCCACATCTGTGTGTTGTTCAGGACCCACAGGGCTGGCACATCTAAAAGGGAAGTAATCCCACAGGAATGCCTTGACTGGCAGTGTTGAGATGCCCAAGAAAGCACAGCTGTCCTTTTCCACTTAAAACCAAAGAGAAGAGCAATGTTGGTAGAAGTTCACTTTTAGCTGTCACCTACAGGTAGGAGGGCTCGTGCAGAATAGACGAAACCTGGGATCTGTGCTCCTCTCAACATGAAGAACTGGTTATACCAACAGCTCTTCCAGCCACAGGCTAGGATGGGACCATCTACCTCCACCTCCTGTCAAGGTTAGACCTCAGTGCAGAAAAGTTGCCACCCAATGACTTGGTTGTCCATGACGGAATTCCAGAAAAAATTCCAGCAAAGATCTCCAGGTTCACAGTAATATTTTAAACAGGGCTGCACAGAAGTCATTATGTAAAACACATTGTTTTTGTTGGCTTTTCATGTTAGTTGGCAAAAAATTATTCAGACTAAAAAGATCCTAAGGTACATAACTCATCTTGCTTTCTGGAAATGGGCCCTCAGTTCTGGCTGGGCAATAGCTACTGCACTGCTGGGAATAGCTGAATTTAGGTTCTTTTCTGGCCGCTGAGTTGTAGTGTTTCAGGCAGCAGTCCTAAATGTATAAACTTGCAAAGCTGTCCCTAGAATGAGGATGGTGCATAAGGCCTCTGGAGGGACATCCTGAGGATTTCTTCTTGAATTAGAAAAGTTTGAGATACCAAATAAAGACAACAAGGTTGTCCCACTTTTCTGGCAAGGCTCCAATTTGATAATTACTATTTCACCTACCCATATTCCCTGTGCAACTTTAATTGCAAAAGATTACGTGTCCCCCTTGAATTCATGGGGCATTGCTCAATCGTGTTTCATATTTGCACACTGCCCCCAAAATAAAGTGAATTTTGTTAAACCTGGCAGAGCAATGTGTACTGAGACACTTTACCTCTGTAATTCCATACGCAAGAGAAACGCTATGTTGCCATACACCACCTTCAGAAAAGATCTTTGGTATAGAGATGATTTGAGATCACAGGAAGGCCTTATCTCTTCTAGCTTAATTGTACAAAGTGAAGATGTAAATTTTATAGCAATATCCAATTGTTATGATGCCTAATATAGGTCTTGATGAAGTTCCATAAATGGTCATATCATTGTGCAGGTTATTTTTCTTCTTATTCATCACCCTGAACATAAAAAAATAAATGGCTTTTTTAATGTCAGTTTGCCTGAATTTAAATACAGGCAGTGTAACATTAGCTTTTCTCTATGAGACAGAAGTCTTATGATTCCTAATATTCTATGCATGTGAAGTCTAAACTCAGGGTTATCACTGTTTATTCTTAGAGACTAAGGATGGAGGTTGGAGGTCATTAAGTTTTCCAGCATAAGATTTTCAGTGCTGACTGTAGCTTTCCACATGTTTTTCAGTTTTCCAACATCCTTTTTTAACATCTAGAGATCTGAACTCAATAAAGTATTGATCTCTTCAGTGATGTGCTTGGAGACAAAATCACTGCTATTCATTACTTGCCCTATGTTACACACACATAAGAACTTTATTAATTCTTATCCCTTCTAAATTTTCTTGCTTGCAGATGATGAACCCAGTCTTCAAACAGAGCCTTTATGTTAAGAAGTATGACTTTAATTTTGCTTATTTTAAACATTCTGTCATTGAACAGGCCTGTTTGACTAAATATTCCAAGTCATTATAGTGACAATAGCCAAGTTTATTTATTTCTGAACAATTTACAATGTTCTTTATGGTGTATATTTGTATCCCACCCAGGAACTTGCTGGAATAGTGGCTTTGTTTGTTTACAGAATTGAGGGTTTATTGGCCTATTTGGTACTCCAGGTCATGCAGCAGGTAGTAACAGCTCCTGAATCCCAGCTGTGCCTACTAAGCACATAGAAACTGGAGAACATCAGATCTGCTGCAGGTGTTTATCCCTAATCCCTATGCTACACTTCTCTGAAAACTCTGTTGATAGCAGAAGAGTTTTATTCAAAGCAAACTGGTTTTCCTCTGAACTACAAACCACTCTTAGACATAAGCAGTTTCTCTCCATCTTTAAACATCCCCATTTGAGGAATGATATGGATAAGGTTATGAAACCACAAGTGTGGAATCACCCAGATATTTTAGATTTCCTTGAGGGTTTCCAGCACCGCTTTGCTTGTCTGCACCATGTTTGACTCCATGGTACCTGAACACCAAGCTGAGTCAGAGGGAGGGGAGTCACTGATGTTTTTTATCTCTGAGAAAATACACTGTAGATCATTTCAGAATTGCCTCAGGGTCTTATTCTTGAGGTTTTAGTGTGCATCGGTTACAGGGGAAAACAGTATTAACTAGAAACCAAACAGAAAATAACTAAATTGGGTCATTCCACAGCCTGTTATTATAAGGGCTTTCTAACCTCTCAAAGGCTTTCCTATTTCTGTCCAGACACTGGTTTTACAAAATGCGCCTTTGGAGACATAACTTGCATCTTCATTTTCCAGTCCTGTCTTTCACACTTGTGTGAAAACCTTTGCAGTCATTAATCGTCAGCTTGCAGCAAAATAAGCAGAGCCTCTGAACCTGTCTCACACCAGAGTACCATTAAGAAAAACAATTTAACTCAACGTTGTTCACATGTGAAGTTTATGTCTCCTAATGAGGTGTTGTTCTCTGGGTATATTTTCCCCCTATTTCATTATTATGGCTCCCTTTGGGCAGGTTTCCCTTGAGTTTTAATTATGAAAACAACACCTGTTTTCAGTGCCACTGTTGGCGTTTTCATCTGCTCCAGAGCATTTGCTTCTCTGTTATCTTGAATGTCTTCCACTCTCTGCATTGATTTCCCAGAAAATGCTGTATCGATTTTATCTTGACATTTCAGTGAATGCCTCATCTTCCTCATTCTTCTTTCTGAATTTTAGAAAGCTACACTCACCCTTGTTCTGTCTGGCCTTCCAATTAGGGAATACTTGTGATTCTCCTTTTCTGTTTCAAATCCCTGTGTGATCAGACTTTTTGCTGCTGTGCCCTATGCTTTTTGAACCTGCTCTCTAGGACACTAGGGAAATACAAGGACTTTTTTATTGGTCTTTAGTTAAATCCTAAGACCTGCTGCAGTATTTCTACACAAAGAATGCTTTGCTTTTAAGCACCACTTTAAGAGTTGTTTTCATCTGTCAAGTTTCTGTTGGTTTGGATTGAAGAGCCTGCTGTTTTGTCATGTTCAGTACATCATATCATCTAATATTAAAATATGCTTTTGTTGGCTTCAAGATCATGGGTAAAATGTTTCTCCTAAAGTATTCTGGTTGTATTTGGAGTCTGTGTTTTTGTTATATTAGTGCTTTATTGCACTAGAAATAGTAAATAGTGGTGAATAATAAAGTAACTCTTATATTCAGTCCCTTCTGCCTTTATCTCATATATGATTTTTCATCACTGCTGTAAAGAAAATAGGGCATCAAACAGCCAAAAAAAAGAACAATTTTCATTATGTAATAATAATCAAGCAGCAGTTCACATCTAGCAACTTATATTGGAAGAACGATGAAAGGCAGGCTTAAAACATTGCCAGGCTTATAGTATTACTCATCTAGGGAGCTGGATAGAATTGACTATTAGACAAAAGATCTATATGGAAATTTGTGGATTCTCCTTAAAGGAAGTGGTTTATCACCCAAGCCACTGTTTCAGATCCAAGCAATATCCTGGCCTCTAGCCTTGGATAAAACCAAAGAACTGAGTCCAATCTAAATCCATTTTGTCCAACATGAACCACCTAAAAAGTGAGTGACTACTTTAAACTTGAGATTCAGCTTCCTTCTATAGCTTATAAAGATAAATAACTGCAGTGTCAAGACACTTAGTCTTCGGAGAGGATGGATCTCTCAACCAGACATCAGAAGGATCAAGCTTAGACTATATGCTACATAGATTAGATGTTTTCCAGCCTGAATGTCCCTGAATCATTCTAACAGGAGTGATTTCAGGTGTCATAGTCATGTTCCAATTCTGATCACTGCAGCCTGGCACACTAAAATCATCACTGAAGTTTTAATGGAACCCCTTCTTCCACCCCTCATGTAATGATTGTGTTGACAGTTAATTCCCTGTCCTCCCAGCCTCAGAAACTCAACAGCAACAAAACAAATGGCTCAAGAAAACAATGTGTGAGATGTTTACTTTGTACAGTCTTTCAAGGTGTGTCCAGATGAAAAAGTTAAAAAATATGCCATGAGTGCTTATTTCTTTCTGTAGTAGGGGTGAGTCAAATCAACTCAATTTTCACTGTGGGTTTTCTGGATCAGTGTTAACTCAATCCTAGATACCTTGAAATAAAATCCATAAGCTTTTCTGACATTGTCTGGAAATAAAGAAGTGATTGAAATGAATCCACATTTTAGATTTTAATGTTATAACAAAATTTATATATAACTATGTTATAACATGTTATAACAAAAATTTACACTAACCTCATCCCCTTTCCTCTTTCCCACATTCTCATATCATCAAAATATTGTGCCCCTAAAAATGATGGTTTCATTATTTTTTCATTTTGAGTATTTTGAAGACCTAAATGAATAAAGTTGAGCTTAAATAACAAGAATTTTCATTAACATCTATTAGACCAAATTCACAGATAATATTTTGAAATCAACATGGCTGTAAATCAAATAGGAAAAGGTATATTTAAATGATCTGGAAGATACAAGATTAGCAGACTTTTCAGTGTATTTGTAAATATTTTGTCCTAATTTGTGCTTGCTATCCCAGTGGAAAATGGCAATTTCAATTTCGAGATGGTCATGAACAGCCACTACTTGGAAGAAACATGGCAAGTTCCTGTCAAACGTTATAAACATGGATTTAAGCCTACATTCTGATTTTTCTCATGGAGGGTTCTTCCAAGGTTTTAAATTCAGGTCAGCAAAAGTAGCATGTGACTTTTCTCAGTCATAAAAGACTTCCTACGCACTACATCACAATTCTTATACTAATGTTTTTTTTCAGAATTCTACTAGTTTTCCAAGTCCCATCACAAATCAACATGTTTCCCCTTCAAGGAGTTCAGCTGGCAAAATTTATTTGGGACCACTGTTTTTATGTATTGTGTTGTGTTTTGCATTCAGTGCTTGCCAGCAATGATAATTCTGAGCTAAATCCATGGTATATTAGGATTATCACTAGCATGGAGGTGGCTGAGTATTGCTGCTGAATTAAAGTCTTAAGACTAAGGATTTTCAGGATAAAAGAGAAGTCTTAATTGCAGTACAAACTTTCAGATATGGTGGAAAGGCTATATGTATTAAGGGTCATCTACTGTGGCAAACTTAATAGTAGATTTTGGGGGAAACGAGTTCGTGTAGCTGGATGATAAAAAAGATATGAATAACACTGCAGTGCAGACCTGGTTTTTGGAAAGATCTGCAAGATTTGTCATTAGAAGTACAGTTTTTTCACCAAGAGGTTCATAACATGTCCTGCAGCCCATGGCTTGTATTTTTTTTCCTAGAATATTCAAAATGGGGATGTAGTGAAAAATGAAGTAAGACAGAAGACAAGACTGGGATAAGATTTCTTAGTCTTCTAAAAGTTTTGCAAGCTCTGAGTGATTCACTATAGAATAAATTTACTTACTTGATTAATATGACTGGTCCACTTTGTTCCGGTAGAAACCCCCCCGACTGCTATTTAGCATGGATGAGTATAACCTGGCCTTTAGAATGTTGTGAATTTGCTTTATATCTTTTTCCTAATTTTTTATCTGAAAAAAAAAAAATTAAAATTGTAGCAATGTTTGAACAAGTAGATTCCGATGGGCTTGGTTTGTGTTTGTTATATTGCAGCAGGAAAAAGGAAGGAGTAGTATTTTCAGTTACCCAGGCTACCAACAATTCAGATGACTCACATCCACAAAGTCATATTCCTTAAAGCACTCGATTACAGGAAACTTTGTTAAAAAAAATAAAAAAGCAACCATTCATCAAGACATAATTGCCAGCATTGAATAGACTTGCAGAACCCAAAGAAAGCTGAGAGGCTTTTTATGTTGGCAAAGAATATTACTCATCGGATGGCAGTTGCAGCTTTGGAACTGCAATCATTGCCTCACTTTGTTAAATTTGGTATTCATAAACTAAAAAAAAAATAAAAATCCACGAACAACACAAAAATGAAACAAAAGCCCTGCTAATGTTTAAATTTTATAGTGAGATACAGCCACAAGGCACTAGCACAGAAGAGTATTTCTGATTGGCTACCAGCTGTTGGAGCTGAACAGATGAGCTGGAAAGTAGCAATTTACAAGCTATTTCATATTTAAAGCTGTTAGGTCCTGTGCAAAACAATCTTTTCTCTCTGGGAAAAACAACAGAAAAAAAAAATTGAAAAAAGATCCCCAGAAGAAAGGAAACATCTACTGAACATAGATTCCCCCAGCACAATGAGAAATTTCAGTTTTCTCCTTATTCTGCCAAATAATGTATTTCTTTCAAACAAATACTCGATTCTTTCAAATGAATTGGTGTCATTTAATTATGTTAAAAATCAGACTTGTTCCTTAGAAACATTACTTTCTAACTGGCTTCACCTCTGCGATGCTGTAAAGTGTCACAGTTTAACTTACAGCTCACTTTTTAATCATTCCTGTATTGACAGAGTTATATAATATAGTCTTCCAGAATTTTTTAATGCAGTTAGGTAAATTATGATTAACTAAGAAAAATTATCATGCTTAAACTAGAATGAAAATAATAAATGGTTATTTCAGGAAAATGTAAAAGGTTTGTGCAAAACCATTGCATTCTATATATAGCCCTTCATTTAACAGTTCTACAAACCTGCAAAAGTTGGTTTTTGTTGAAAACTGCCAGGCTACATACAATGAAATCTGGAGTAATAACACCAGAGAGCTGTCAGTCAGCCATCCATCCATCTAATTGGCTTCTTACCATCTTTCCATCATGTTTTTTTTATAGCTGGTCGCCTCTGGCTAAAATGCAAATCATGAGGAAGAGCCGTCTAGAAAAAGCTGCTGCTTTCTTAATTATCTGTCAGAGTATGGACCAGTGGACCCTGGGCCACAGAGTAGAGTTATGCTAAGCAGCAAGGCATCATGGGAATTGGAGTGACAGCTCATTTTCCTCCTGTGTTTTTCTGCGTTCGAATGACAATGCAGAAATACGGGTTTTTCCCACACTTTCTCTGAACACCTGGGCCAATGCTCAGGGGGACACAAAGCCAAAACTGTCACATTTCCAGACATGGTCTTATTGCTGTCACTGTGACAGGATTGTTGACAAATGCCAGCAGTCATCTCAGCATCTTGGGAAATGTCTGCCGTGGTTGTGTCAACAGCCTGACAGAAATTGTTAATGTTTAAACTTCTTCCACTGACAGAATCCTGTCTTGCTGACAGTATTTGTCATATGAAACTCAATCTTTGTCAAACTTGCTTAAAAATTAACACTTCCTCCTTTTCTTTTGCAGCTAACTGCCTGTGTGCTTTTTTTCTTTTTCTTTTTTTTTCCTTAAGTAATAAGATTTCAACAAGGTATTATTCCACAGTCCACAATGAGTCCAAGAGCACAAGCACATTATGAACTTATGGCCAGCTTGTCCTTTTGACCTCTGCTGCAACGATAATTATGCTTTTATTCCTTGCCCATTTTTTTTGCCTTAGGAATCAAAGTTCTGAATTATTCAAGAGCCATAAAAATCCTATTTCTCAGTGTACAATGTGGAAAATCAATTAAACAGAGTTAGTTTAGCACTTATATAAAAATCAAGTTACAAGTCTGTAGACATACATTAACTGAGTCCCTCTCTAACTTTGGTTTTGAAGGTCAGTCCAGCTGGATAGAGAAACAGTCAGTTAGTCTTACCTAGAAACCTTACTCCAGCTCTAAATCTGAAAAGTTCTAAGTATTGCTTTGTACAAATGAAAAGGCAAGCCACATAATCGATGTTGTATATCCTCCAAAAAAATGTCATGGGAGTATCATTGATTGTTTAATTTTAATTGAGTGAACATGGTTACACACAAGACAACACGAACTAGCCATCAGTATCTCACTGAGTGCTAAGAATGAACTACTAGCGTGGAAGACTTCAGCATGTGTTTACGCTTAAATAGGAAAACTTGAAGGACAAATGTGCAGCCAGCAGTGTGCAGGCCTTTAGAATGGTGCAAGACATGATTCTGGAGCTCCGTTAGGAAGAATTTTGACTGTGAATCTCTGCTGATACCAAACCCATGTCTTCTGGTGGCATTATGCAATTAATAGTTATTAGGATGTCTCTAAATCAGTAAGAAATCAAAACCTGGCTGTTCACAGTGATTAAAATTGAGCAAGAGCGATGTCCTGACTACATTTTAAAGCTAGGTATTTATATCTCTCCCACTTATTGCCTTCACAGAAAATATTTAGTGGGTACTTCTTTCACCTTCGGTAAAGTGAACCCATTCCATTAGTAATCTTTGCATAGTTCTGATGTTGTGCCCCAAAAGTTTCATTCAGATCAAATATTATTCTTCATTTAACTTCCTAAGCTGATTTCTGTGTATTGTTAAGTGTCTGTAAATATCTGGCTACTGAAAAGGACAGACACAATCCCCAGGCTGGCAAAGAGTTACTCATGTGTAGCACTAATATAAAGTAGTAACATAATCCAGGACACTGAATGTGCAACAGAGAGTTAAAACTGCCTTTATCTTCATTTCTGTACTGAATATGCTTTTCAGTGTGATTTTTTCCAGTTGAACAGTGCAAACTATTAAAACTTAGGAACCTAAAATTGGTTATAAAGCACCATATATAAGCAATTAAGTATGTGACCTGTTTCTAAAAGAGAAGACCATCTGACTCTTCCATTATAGACAATAATGGCTAAAGGTACTTAACATCTCTGTGATACAAGGCATTTCTTTTCATACTAGGTTCTTATATGGCATTTGGTCTATAAGATGAGTTTGTCTTGGTATTGTCACATCTTACTCCTGCTGTAAGGATAGATAACCTGCTTAACTTCCTATACAAGGTATGAGACCCACTAGGTATCTAAAAATGAGACCTGTAGAAGTCAGCAGGCTGAGTAAGTGACTGCCTATGAGTGAGAAAGAATTAATCTGTATTCACAGTCCTTAATTATATGACCATAAATATTGTGTCAATCAGGCCTATTTCAGCTTCCTACTGGATTGAGTGTGATTGACAAGAGAGGTCAGGAAATGTATTTGCTGTGAAATTCTGCGATTTCAGCTGCTGAACTTTCCAGCATCATGATTTGAGTAGCTTACACTCAATGAAAGAAAAGGAGGTATTCCTGGACAGCAACCAACATGCCATGGAAAGGTGGGCTCCTCTTCCATTAGGAAGCAGCTGAGCAAATATTCTCCTTAGTCTGTTTGCAGATTTAGAAATTCTTATTTAAAATTAAAAATATTTAAGAACAGGGCCTTATCTTGCCTATTTCTTCACTTTCCCACTTTCAAAACTGAGAT